TGGAGCTTGAGGTCGAGGAGCTTGGGCCGTGGTGAAACCAAAGTGGACGAGATTGATGGGAAGAGAGATATAGTGTTCTTTGAAGCCATGTTTTGAAAATGCTAATTAAGCTTCTTCTTTTTTTTGTGTGTGTTTGGAGAGGAGTTTTCGAGTAATTACGAGCAGTGGCGGAGCCAGCCACAGTTTTCACCGGGGTCAACATTAAAAAAAAATTAATTTTGAGCAAATGTCACCGGGGTCAATGAACTAATTTTATAACATTTCACTAGTTTTTTTAAGAAAAAATACAAGTAAAATTTTTTTTAATAGAAATTCATATGGGTCAAGTGACCCCCCTCCCCAAACGCTACCTCCGCCACTGATTAGTAGGTGAGGGTTTGTATTTATTGTGTTTTAGAAGCTTTAGCGACGTACTTGTTTAGGATGTTATTTAAGAATTCTCTTACGTCTGATTAAAAGTCAACCGAAATAATTGTACATGTAGTTAATGAACAAAGGTAACTTTTGGTCCTAAATGTAGCACGCGAGTTGCAGTTTCACAAAGATATCTAAACCTTATCTAGTCATCTATAGAAGAGGTTTGGCAAGGAGCATTTAGGTCAAGGCTCAAAATTCTACGAAACTCTTAACGAAGTTTATATTTTTGCTAGACATTTTGGTTTACGGTTTACATAGCGGCAACGTATATTGTCGATTAGTCTCACAACTTTGACGTAAGAATTTTCGACTAAAAGAAAGAAGAATTGGTATTCATTATGAAAATTTACCATATGATAAATATGGCTTTTTTACAATATAACTTTATTTTTGGCAATATACCATATGATAAATATATTGCCAAAAAAAAGTCAAACTTTTAAGTCATTTATACATCTTGATCACTCATATCCAAACTTCTCTACTTTTAGGAAGAGAACCGATGTAAGTTGTAACGTCTGTTCAAATGGAACGAGATAAAAACTAGTCGACTATAACCATTTGGTTGTACTTAATTAATTTTGTAGATTTATATAGTATATAAGGATGAACATTTTAGCTTTATTGTGTTCTTTTTTAGTTTAAGAATTGTTACCGCATTGGAATTTGAAGCAATTTATATTCGGTTCGACTAAATTTTAGTTTCGTAATAGATCAACATTATTTTCGTTTTGGATTTGTTCGAGCCGAAATGCCTATAAGTCTATCCCTAACCAAAATATTATTAATATTTTTGTTAAAGAATGTTGTCTTTTAAAAAACTAGCTTGAAAACCAAAATTTTATTTCCAGTTTGGTTCTATTAGGTTTGATTAATTAAATACGTTTTTTTGCTGAGCACAAGCATTATGCGGGTTTGAATCGACTAGTTATAAATCAACCGTACTAATACAAACCACTAGGTCATAAGGCATGGTCAACTAAATTCAGTTTGGTTTGAGTATTTGTGATGCCGACTAAATTGTTGAAAAGTTTGATTTGGGGTTCGTGGGTTACTAGGGTTTGATTTAATCTTGATTCGGTTCAAATGACAATCTCAAGTGTGTTTTTATAAGAAACAAAACAATTTAGAAAATCCAAAGGTTTATAGACAGTGCAAGACCAATCAATAGAGTGCACTTTTGAAAGACCACATTGTCCTATTTCTCGCATGTGTTTACTTTCGTGCCGAATTAATTTTTGGCACTTTGATGTTAACTTGTATTCTAATAGAACTCGTATTTGAGAACTTACAACGAACGTGTAAACATTATGAAATGTGGAATCATGTAAATGAAATCAAAAGAAGAAGAAGGAACTCAACAGTCCCTTAATCTAAAGACTTGAGGGTCAAAGTAACGTAGAGTGAAGCCCATATCTAAGCTAACATGAAGAGGTTTGGCAATATTGGAACAGGGGGCACATCATAAACCATCGTAGTGAACATCTTAAAGACCTATAAATACCCAACTCCCTTCCTTCAATTCAGATCACCAATATCTATACCAATAGTCCTCTTTTGAGGACCTATCAACTTAATAAAAAATGAATCCAAAATGTTCGAAAACAACCCTAGCTCTTTTCTTTGCAGTCACCATCCTCCTCCTCGACTACACCGAAGCCAATAGACCGCCACGTTTGCGCCCACCTCCACCTTCGACCCCTAGAAATCCACCAACTTCTCTTCCACGTGCACCACCAATGTCTCCACCAAGAACCCCACCGACCGCTCCTCCGCGTACACCACCAGCGTCTCCTCCACGAACCCCACCGACCGCTCCTCCGCGTACACCACCATCGTCTCCTCCAAGAACCCCACCGACCGCTCCTCCGCGTACACCACCAGCGTCTCC